CATTGATGTTATCTCATTTTCATAAAGGTAGCTTAATGTTTGAATGATAGTTAATGATGAAAGCTTTATTTCACTTGTACCGAGTGTATTTTTAGGTTGTTTGTGTCCACTTTCTGCTCTAAACTAGAAAGTTCATTCGGCAACACTTTCTGGGGTTAAACACTCACCTTGTATTCATCTAGAATTTTCCTCAGTCATTTGCAAATTTTAAGAAAAATAATTTTATTAAAATATAATGAGTGGAGGTGAGCAAAAGACACTCATGGGACAGCATGGATCCTCACAGTCTGGGCTGCTTGAAGTCATCTACAGGCCCACCTGATGCCATGCGGCTAAGTGAGAGAAAAATATCCACAGGGCAGCCTGAGTCCTCTTTGTCCTGGCTGCCTGAAGGATTCCTTGGGCTGACCAGGTGCACTGGGAGGGTAGGTGTCATTATGATGAGCAAGTGTATGGTGGAGAAATGGGAGAAAAAGAGGCAGAATGAATGGTTCATGTGCTATGGTAAGAGGCAGATCTGAAGAGGCGAGGGTGGTGAGGAATTGGCTAATATTAGTGGCCTGCTTGCCATCCAGGACCAGGGTGGTTTCCTGGCCTGGGATGCTGCCTAGGGCAATGTCTGGGTCCATGATTCTGCAGCAGCCAGGGTCTGTGTTGATGTCCATGACCCATGTGATCATTTTGGTGTCAGAAGGCCATGCCACTACCAGGGCCATATTGATCTAAGTACTATTACTGGGAGGATTGGGGAGGGCAGGGGGGTGGGGCATGTCTGGGTTCATGGTCCCACAGCAGCCAGGTTCTGTGTTGATGTCCATGGCTTCAGAAACTGCTGAAGGTCATGTGGATGACCGGGGTCTGGTCAAACACCTGAGTCTATGCTGGTGTCCGAGGTCCATGCTGCTACCAGGGCCATGCTAATCAGAAATGCCTGTGCTGCCTAGACCCTGGCATCTGTGTGGTCTTTGAAGGCTGTGTTATACTCAGGGCCTGGGCCACCACCTGAGGCCAGGTGGGGATCTGAGGGTCATGTTACAGCCAGGGTCATACAAATCTGAGTGGTCTGTGCTGCCACAAGGTGCCATGGTGACATCTGAAGCCAGGCTGTAGCTGGAGGCCATGTCTGGGTCTGTGACTCTACAGCAGTTAGGGTCTGTATAGATATCTGTGGCTCCTGATACCATCAAAGGCCATGCCAATGCCATCTGGGGCCATGTTGGTGTCAGAGGGCCACACTGCCACTGAAGCCATGCAGATATGAGTTGGCTACACTGCCATCTGGGCCCATAGTGACATCAGAGCCCAGGCTGCTGCTGAGGACTATGTCTAGGTCCATGGTTCTACCACATCTGGAGTCTGAGGTGATGTCTGTGGCCCATGGTGCCACCAAAGACCACACAGATGCCAGGGTCTAGGCTGCATCCTTTGGCCATGTTAATGTCCAAGGGCCATGCTGCTACTGGGGTCCATGTTGATCTGAATGACCTCTGGTGCCACCTAGGGCCAGGGAGTTTTCCGGACCAGGACTACTGCCAAGGGCCATGTCTGGGTCCATGGCTCTGTCGCAGCCATGGTCTGTGTTAACATCCATGGCTCCTGATTACCCTGATTACATGCTAATGCCAGGCAGGGATCTGGGCTACCACCTGGGACCATGTTGGTATCCAAGGCCCACTCTGCCACCACGGCCATACTGATCTGGGTGGCCTATGCTGCCCCTGGGGCCATAGTGACGTACAGGCACAAAATGCTGCCAAGGGCCATGCCCTGAGTCCTTGATCCTACTGCAACTGAGGTCTGTGATGATGTCCATGGTCGGTGTTGCTACAGGGGGCTATAGGAACCATGCATATTAGAATCCAAAGGCCACGCTGAGCAGGTCCTACCCCTCACTGGCCCTGCCCCTCAATGGTCATTGCAGCAGGAGAGCTGCCCCACCCCTCACCATGGGTTTGGGAGAGCTAGTCCCAATGGCATGGGCCTAGGAGAGCTGGCTCTGATGGGAGTGGTCCCAGTGGTTCAGACCAACCAGCTCAGCTACCATCCAAACCCACATCCTGGGCCTTGGGTTGGCCCACCCTAACATCTACAATACCTATTATTTGCTGGAGTTCATGAAGGGACTGGTCTTACTAAATAATAACCCCGAGATCTCCATGAGTTGGAGCAACAGCAGGATATCTGAGAGGAGTATTGGTGAGGGTCCAGTGATGATGGTGTGCCAGAGGCCTTGAACTCATTGCAAGGACTCATTGCAATGAACATTTGCATATGGGGCTGATTGGACAAAAGGGTGTAACTGTGTGACACACCACAGCTCCCGATGCCACTAGGATGAGTGAAGAGATGTTAGAAAGATGGAGGATCGAGGTGTTTTTGTTTGTTTTGTTTTGTTTTTAATTGGTAGTTTTGGAGGAGTTTTTTTGGGGGGGAGGATGCTGCAGAAGTGAGGGAAAGATATGGAGGAACTGGGAGGTGAGTGGGATTGGGGTGCATGATGTGAAATTCTCAAAGAATCAATAAAGAATTATGTTAGACAAGAAAAAGAAAAATATATAATGAGTGATTGTCTGCATTACGTTCTGTTAGATTTTTAGAAATATGCAAGCATCTATATTGTATACTGATTATTTTTAATACCACTAAATTGATATAATCAGTTTTTTCATGTATCTCATTAGTAATTACTGGATACCTATGATAGGCTAAGCCTCAATGACCCAGTTCACTCATACATATATAAAGCCTCCTTTTTGCCATTAAAATATGCTTTTAGCCAAATATGGCTGCTCATGCCTGTAATCCTAGAACTCAGGAGGCTGAGATAGGAGGATCATTGTGAGTTCCTCTTGAGTCTGGGTTACATAGTGAGACCCTGTCTTAGACACATTCTTTATTTTAACTGCTGTCTTCATGAATTTGCCTTTTATTTCAAGTGCCTGTGAGAGGCTAGGACACTTTGGAATTAAGCATATGGTTCATACTTCGTTTGTTACCTTTCATGATGGACATTTTCACCTGTCAACTTCCCTTCATTTTCCTAAGTGCAACTGTTATGTTATAGTCTAAGGCAGAGGATGACAACCATTGTATGTCATGACCAGGTGACAGTCTTTGACGAGCTCCACTATTTTACAACTCAATATTGCCACTGTAATATAAAAACAGCCATAAACAATGTGTAAATGAATTAGTATTTGGTGCTCCAATAAAATTTTATAAGCACCAAATTAAAATTCCATAATTTTGTGTTACAAAATATTTTTTCAACCATCCTTACAGTTTCCCAAATAAACAGTGGGCCAGATTTGGTCATGAGTTATTTACTAACATGTTCCAGAAACCTACACTTTGTTTATTTTTTTTACAAAACACTGGCATACCTGGTATGTGCAAGACTGTGGGTTCACCACCCAGAACCACAAAATAAAATCAATTTTCATAAATAAAATGTACTTTTTTCGTGTCATTAAAACCCTGATACACTGACATGATCTTCTGACGTTCAAGGCATCACAGAACAAGATTCTGTCCATTCCTAAGTTTCAGGTTAATGTGGGCTCTTCTGAGCAACCGTCTCAGACTCAGTGAGCTGTTGTCTCGTACAGTTTTCGTAATCCGCTCAACTAAAGAGATAACTACCCCGGATAAATGATCTTTATAAAAAAGATAAACAGGAAGGAATCTAGTTGTGCTTGTAGAACAGGATTCGGTACAACGGGCATTCCAGAGAAGTCAGTGAGAATCTCTTACTTCAGGGATTTTTGCTATCTGCAGGGGTCTGGTGTAGAACTGCAGTCTAGTACATAGACTCTAGGGGAAAGGATGAGGATGGGGCACAGTAAAGAAGTATGCACCTATCCTTTGTCCCACGGGACCTGTGAGTAGAGACCTCATCTTACAAACACCCCCTAATAACGGAAGACATTTCAGGGTTCAGTTATGCACATGCCAAGAGAATGAAAACTCTGAAAAAGCTAAAAAACATTACCTCATCTAGTTCTTACAGCAGCCCTGAGGTGATTATTATTTTCACCTTACTGATAAGCATAAGGATAGATATTAAATATTTATTATATTTCCCAATAACAGATGCCAGATGGTAAACTAAATCTGAGATTATATCATAAGTCTCAAAAATTCTCACATTTTATAAGGTTATTAAAAAAGACAATTTTATTTTTAATTTTATCTGCACATATGTGCCTAGTGCCCAGAAGTCATCAGATTCCCTGCGACTGGAGTTACATTTGGTTGTAAGCTACCCTGTGAGTGCTGGGAATTAGAGCTGGGTTCTCTGGAAGAACAGCCAGTGCTCTTAAGAGCTAAGCAATCTCTCAAGCCATCAAATTCTTCGTTAAGTAATATGTGTTCTATTTTGAAAAATGAAGAAATATAATGAAAATTGTTTTCAGTTCTTCCAGTGATCAACATTACTTACTCCATTTATGTGACTGTTTGTACTCTTTTTTAATTTTATTTTTCTTTATTAAGAAATTTTCTACTCACTCCTCATGCTATCCACAGACCCACCTCCTCCCTCCTCCCACCCCCAGCCCTCTTTCCCAAGCCACCCCGCATCCCCACATCCCCCAAACCGAGGTCTCCCGTGGGGAGTCAGCAGAGCCCAGCTCACTGAGCCTAGGCAGATCCAAGCCACTTCCCACTGCACCAAGGCTGTGCAAGGTATCATACCACAGGCACTGGGCTCCAGAAGCCTGCCCATGCACCAGGGACAGATCCCAAGCCCCCTGCCTGAGTGTCCCCAAATAGTTCGAGCCAAACAACCGTCTTCCCATCTTCCGTATCCAGAAGGCCTAGTCCAGTCCCATGGGGGCTCCATAGCCACCAGTCCACAGTTCATGGGCTTCCACTAGTGTGGCCAGTCATCTCTGCACATCTTCCCATCATGATCTCGACGTCCCTCGCCTGCAGAATCCCTCCTCTCTCTCATCAATTGTACTCTTATATAAAGAAAAAAGAAGTAAAAGTGCAGAGAATGCCTTTTTCATCTGCTTTATTGGCTTCACAATAGGTAATGAGCATCTTTCCATGCAATTGATAAATTCTGCTAACAAAAGGATTACAGACTGAGTCAACAAGTTGAAACACAAGTTTCAATTAGAAGCTGGCAACAAGAAGAGATCCACACGAAAGAAGTAACCTCAAAGTTTTTACAACAGTGCATCACAAACATGTACGTTTTAGAAGCAGGGGTCCCCATATTCTCTTCAGAGAGAACTTCAGGATTCAGGGCATAAGGCAAAACTCATCGTGGTGGTCGTGGTGGGGCGGGTCAGTGCTAACCGCCCTCAGACTATGGCTCAGCTGCCTTTCCCTCAACTTCTCCATGAGCTGCCTCACATCCTCCCCAAACCTCTCCACGTTCTCCTGTCTCACCCTTGCCTGGGGCTCTCCAACCCTATACAGCAGGTCCCATCTATAGTGGGCAATGGGCGGCCTGACTCGGAAGCGTCTGCGACTCCCTCTAGGCACGCTGTATTCGCCTGTTTCCAAAGGCAGGGCCGCGGGCGGCTCCCTTTTGTTAGCCTCTTGTGGCTTTTCTTCCTTCTCCTCCTTCTCCTGATGGTCATTTTCCATGTTGAGATTTTTTACTTCTTGATCTTTGGACTCCATTATTCCTAAGAAACAAGAGAAGGAAAAGGTATCTTGGTGGACTAATCAGCAACGAGGATGGAGTACCTACTATGCACCTTTCAAAATTCATTTTCCCACCCAAGAGGCCCCCATGCTCTCTAGGGGGCCCAATTCCAGCCCGCCTCTCCCCAAAGTCCACCGTTTTTCCTCAGATCCATCTCCAAGGTAGCTGCGTCATTAAAATGGAAGAACAGGATGGGAGAGAAGGAGAGCGTAGAAGGGGGTTAAGTTGGGCCCTGGGATGTGGGCCTCGGCTTTGCATTCGTTCCCTTGTCCCCTGTCCGGCCTCCAGCCCCGCGCCAGCACCCACCTGGGCCTCTCCTCGCCTTCTCCCCTCCGGCGATGCTCACCACCAGGTGCGCTGAGGAGCCCGACTCCTGGGACCTGCGAACCAACCGGGCAGGAGGGTGCTG